TGTTGCGTTGGGTCCCGCAGTACTCCTGCGGGAGTGCAGGTCTCTAGTGTGAACGTAACCGTATTAAGGACTCAAATACAGGACTGACAACCGTATTCTGCTGCTGTGTGAACGTGACAAGATTGTTGCATCCTATTTGCAGTTAATCTATGTTGTAGCTGCTATGTTGTGTTGTAATCTTAGTAGCTGCTGTATCTCCTGGATACAGAATCACAGAGTTCCAAGTGAGCAGGTTTGTGTCTTTACTTAACCTCTATGAGAGTGGTGGAATGCACACTGAACAAGGCAGATCCACACCCCCTCCAACTCCGCCGCTCTCACACAAACACCCTTGTCCTATCTCCCCAGTGACTTTTCAGGATAGGACTGTATGACCTCTGCAAGCCACTATTGGATGTATGGAGCAACAGGCAGGGCTGTGATTCAGGCTACTGCACAGCTGAGGGGAGTAGCTGCCGTTCACCATTAAGTGAGCTGGTGCTCTGATAAAGACAGGACAGTCACTGAGCAAGATTATCCTGACCCCAGAGTGCATACTGTCTGCCACACTGGCTCCATTAGCCGACAACAGCATGAGAATGAAGGAGATCTCTTTACGGCAGGACCCTGACCTGAGGAAGGAGCTGGCACTAATGGCACGCGGCTGCGACTTTGTGTTACCCTCTCGCTTTAAGAAGAGGCTCAAAGCCTTCCAGCAAGGACAGGCAGGTTGTCTTATATGTTTTGTGTGAAGCCATCTGACTGTTCTTGTTTGCGTAATGCTATTGCTGTCAGTCTCAGTGGGAATGTAATGTTATGTTAGTGTCCATTAGATGTGTGATTATAGCCGTGGCATTGAGCAAAACTGTTGTTGTTTTTTTAAAATAACTGAGAGGCTAGAGGATTATAAGCGGTTTTAAGAGCATCCAAATGTTTAGGATTGAGCAGGAGGCTCTGTCTGCCCTGTGGTGGAGTTGATGATGGTCATTCCCTTTTATAGACATTGCTGACTGACTGGGGAAGGCGAGATTAAATGCATTCATCTCTTACAGTGGATTAGACTGAGCAGAATCCCCCGCATATTAGGGTTGCACGATTATGACAAAAATCATAATTGTCGATTAATCCCTTAAATTGTAATTGCAATTATTAATTACGATTATCGCAATTTACATTGAATGATGTTTATACCATTGTTTGATGCAACTGCATGCTGTATTTTTATATGAAAATAAACAAGCTGAAAACACTCTAACTGAAAAACTTTTAGTGCTTTTCTATAGTATTAAGCCTCAAATGTCAACTATACATTGGATTGGTTTCTTTCAATTATAAAAAAGTAAAAATACGAATGGTATTGTAATGTTATACTAAAATTAAAATAATGGGAAAAACCCTTAAGATAACATGTAGAAAGAAAAAAACGCATCTTAAGCACGCAGAATAACATAAGTGGACTTTGGACGATTAATTGCTGCTTTGAAAGATTACGTAATTTTGGCATCCATAATTGTAATCGCGATTAGAAATTTGATTAATTGTGCAGCCCTACTGCATACCACATCAGAGAGAGACTTTCCAAATGCATCAAGATTCCAAACTTCCTTACAAGGTCCTACAAGTGTATTTGAAAGCAAAAGTTTAGCTGCTTTTTGTGCCATTACTGATGAGTAGCAGTGGACTACTGCTGGGCGTACGTTATGGATGTCTTTAGAATGAGATGAGGTAGTGTAATAGCTAATCTATCACAAGAGACTGAAGCAATAATTAAATTGTCAAAATAACTATGACACCCAAGCTTATAAAATCATCAGATTATTTAAAGGGGTCATATGATGTTGCTAAACAGAACATTACTTTGTGTATTTGGTGTAATGAAATGTGTTTATGCGGTTTAAGGTTCAAAAACACATTATTTTCCACATACTGTACATTATTGTTTCTCCTCTATGCCCC